GGGAAGGAGGAGGAGGAGGAGGAGGACAAGGAGGAGGAGGAGGATCCTCCTCGTCTTGATGCTTGTCTCTGTGAGCGTGTTGCATGCGCAGCCGTGCTCATGATACATTTCTTCGGGCTGCGGGCAAAATGTGATGCCCCCTCCCTCCCGCCCCCCCTGGCAGAGCTTTGCGAGTCCTTCTCCTCTTCCTCCTCCTCCTCCCCTCCTCCTCCTCCTCATCTCCTTCACCTCCTACCTCATCCTTCTCCCAATCACCACGTCCCCCCCCCTGGCAAGAGCCTCTGCGAGTCCTTCTCCTCCTCCTCCTCTTCCTCCATCCTGCTCCTTATTCTCTAATCCTTCCCACCACCTCCTTCTCCTCCTCATCCTCCTCCTCATCATCCTCCTTCTCCTCCTCCTTCTCCTCCTCCTTATTCCCAATCTCCCTCCTCCCCCCCCGCCTGCTTGATGGGATTGGGTGCTCCCCCCCCTTCCCGAGGCCAGGGTGTCCGCCCAGCTGGCTGGCCGACGCCTCTTCGAGTGCGCCTTCGTGTCGCAGGACTTCGACTTTGTGACGCCCTATTGGCAGCCCGCCTACGTGTACGGGTGGGATGCTTAGGTATTCCAGCCGTCCCGAATTGTTTTTTTGCCTTGACCACTTGAAGTCGTGGTTCAGATGAGGAAAAGGTACCCATACCGCTACCCTTCGGCCGTCTTCCCCTTTTTCGGCCTCCTGGGAGGCCCTCGTTGCCACCGCTGCATTCGCTTCGAAATTTTGGTCAGAACGCACCACGGAAGAGGTCCAGGGGGTAGCCGGTATCGGTACCTTTTGGTTTCCCCATTGGTTTTTGGGTTTGCCCGCTTGCGTGGCCCGCGTGGCATCAGCAACATTGTTTGAGTTGTGGGTGAGCTCTAGATTATCAGCAGCGTGCTCAAGGTGTCAAAGACAATGTACTTACAACTAGGGAATAGCTAGCTCGCACTTAACCAACAAGTAGCCCACAGCTGGCTCACACTTAGCCCAGTTTCAGCCCACACACATCGCCCAGAGTTGGCTCACCTTTGGCTTACTTTTCGCCCATAGCTAGCCCGACATTAGCCCACAATTGCAGTCGAAACAGAGAATAAGTGCGGGCCAGCTTCCGAAGGGTACCCTGGCATCCTTGCCTCCTTGGGCCATCCGTGAACGCTTTCGATGGCCAGCTCCGCTCGAAAAGCTTCGACATGGGCGTCCAAGGGGTTTGCATCCTTATCGCGCATCTATACTCTCAGTTCTGACTGTAGCCCGCTTGCGCCCAGCGTTTGATCAGCGTTCCGGTGTGGGTCGACGGAGTTCAAGACGGGTCGACGGGAATGTGTCGTCGGCAGCGAGACCACAAACGTCGACGAGAGCAGACGGAAATACGTACACGCATGCGCGCGTCGGTTTAGAGATGAGAAAAAGGGCGACCTTCTTTACGAAGTCGTGGGCCGAGGATGCTGCAAAGATTGGCGCGGGGAGCGTGGCCCTCTGTGGCCGACAGCTGGCCTGCAATTGGGCCCCACTTGGAGCCCAGCATGGGAGGGAGCGGGGCCACGGAGTAGGGATGAGGGGGGAGAACGAGGGAGAAGGATGAGGACAGCGACAGCGACGCACAGGAGGTGTAGAAGAAAGCAAGAGGAGGGAGAAGAAGGAGGAAGGAGGGAGGATGATAAAAGAGACAGGAGGAGGAGGAGGAGGAGGAGGAGGAGGAGGAGGAGGAGAAGGAGGAGGAGCAGGAGGAGGGAAGAGGGAAGAGGGAAGAGGGATGAGGGGGGAGAACGAGGGAGAAGGATGAGGACTGCGCGGGAAGAGGGCGAAGCAGAGCACATATCCAAGATCGCTGAGCAGAAAGAGCTATGTAGCCAGAGCCGCCCAGGCAAAGCTGCTCGTCGATTCGCGCGGCGCCGCGCACGTCCAGAGGCTTGGTGCAAAAAAGCGGAGATGCCCTCATTTGCTGACAATGTCGCCGTTTTGGCAGGGACGGCATGGGAGAGCCTCTCTCGGCCCAGCAGATGGCATGACTGGAGCTTCTGTGTGCGAAGCTTCTCGCTGGGTGTGGATTGATTCGTCTACCTTCCTACTCCTGGGAGGCATGCTGGCAGATGTCGGTTTTGTGATAAGGGTACATTTGCGTCGAACGTGGCCTCCTGGTCCAACGCGATGCGCGGAGGTACCCATGTGCAGATTGTATATAGCTTACTGGCACAAGTCTTTGATCGCTCTGCCCTCTTCTTTGTTGGTGTGTCCTAACACGTGGCTTGTTTCTATGTGATTCTGGGGGAAGGAAGGGAAAAGGCCAGGTGGAAAGGGAAGGCCAGGTGGAAGGGAAAAGGCGGCGAAAGGCGGGAGGGGGGGGGGGGGCGGGACAGGGCGGGGGCGGGACGTGTGTCAGGTGGGGTCGCTCCCGCCAAGTTGTCTGTCGCGGGCGGTTGCTGGGGGCCGCGGTTGGCAACCCCGAACCACGCGGCGTTCGGGAGGAGAAGCGAGGAGCATGATGATGATGATGAGGAGGAGGAGGAGGAGGAGGATCATGATGATGATGATGAGGAGGAGGAGGAGGAAGAGGACCAGTGTAAACCCAAGGCCCATCAACGATGTTAGAAAACACCTTCCCTCCCAGTTTCTTCGTCACAGGCCCCCGCAAGGGTTCATTTCTGCTGAGGGAGATGCCCCTTGGGGGGACAACCGCGTGAAAATCCTGACGCGTGCCACAACACCATTCTCAGGACTTCAACGCCACGGGTCAACCTGACTGTTGCTTCTCGTGCCAGAACACCATTCCTGGGATTTCAACACCTCGAACCAACGTAACTGTTGCACCCTGAGAATCCCGAATCGCTCCAAAACGCATTGTGTAGTACGTGAACAATGAGAACCAATACTAACCATGCCAAATTTTGAGCCGATTGCGCGCGGCGCTAGGGCGAGAACCACGTGTTGAAACGGAACCGCCTTCAACCCGTGAAAGTATTGCAAAGTGTTGGGGCGTATGCGTGCGGCGTTGGGGCGAGCCATGTGAAAACGACCCGCCTTCAAGTTGCAACGTTTTTGCAATTTACCATAACGAATGCGCACGGCGCTAAGGCAAGAACCACATGTTGAAAACCTCCTGTCCTCAACCCGCGGAGTTTTTGAAACTTTTGAGACGAGTGTGCGCGGCGCTGAGCACGGGCTACGTTTTAGAAACTACCCGCCCTCCATGTGCGAAGTTGCTGCCAGCTTTTAGCTTGAGGCACATTGATGATGGGGAAGTATCAGGCGAAACGCCCGGCCCGCCCTTCTGACTCCTCTCGGGATGTTTCAGGGAGAACTTGCCCATATGGACAAGGTAAAGGAATGGACGAGGACAAGCAGGAGTGAGGAGGGGGAGGAGGAAGATGACGACGACGAGGTCGAGGACGAGGACGAGAAGGAGGAGGAAGGGGAAGAGGAGGAGGAGGAGGAGGAGGAGGAAGAGGAAGAGGATCAGGAAGAGCAGGAGGAGCAGGAGGGAGAAGGAGGAGGAGGAGGATGAGGAGGAGGACGAGAAAGGAGGAGGAGGAAAACGACGAGGAGGAGGAGGACAAGGGAGGAAGAGGAATGGGAGCAGAGGGGAGGAGAAGGGAGGACCAGGAGGAGGATGAGGCGGAGGAAGAGGAGGAGAAAGATGGGGAAGGAGGAAGAGGGAGGGAGGAGGAGCAGTTGGAGTGGGAGGGGAGGGGAGGGGAAGGGAGGATCAGGAGGAGCAGGAGGGAGAAGAGGAGGAGGGGGAGAAGGAGGAGGAGCAAAAGGAGGAGGCAAGAGGGAGGATGATCATATCAGACAGGAGGAGACAGAAAGGGAGAGGTGGAGGCAGGATGAGCACCATCAGCCAGCCGAGGTGGGACGCCCCCGTGACAGTCCCGCGCTGGAGACCCTTCGTCGCCAAGCGGTCGGGCACGATCCTCAGAGCTCGCGGCCTGAGAGACCGAGACATGTTCCCGCGGAGGTGCGCGCGCGGGGGTTGGGGGGCGGCGCCAGGAGGAGGACGGAGGACGAGGAGGAGGAGAAGAAGGAGGAGGACGAAGAGGAGGAGGAGGAGGTCGAGGAGGAGGACGAGGAGGAGGAGCACATGTTGGGTCTGCACATGGTACGGGTGAGGTTGAGTGAGGACGAGGAGGAGGCGAGGAGGAACTGGAGCAGGAGGAGGAGGAGGGGAAGAGGGTGGGCGAGGAGGAACAGCTGGAGGAGGAGGAGCGAGGAGGAGGGGGAGGGGAGAAGGAGGAGGGAGGAGGAAGAGGAGGAGAAGGAGGAAGAGAAGGAGGTGGAGGTGGAAGGGCTGAGGAGCTGAAGACGAGGAGGAGGAGGAGAGAGGAGGGAGGTGGAAGAGGAGGGGGAGGAGGAAGAGGGAGGACGTGGAGGAGGAGGTAGGAGGAGGAACAGCAGGAAGAGGAGGAGGATGATCAGGAGGAAGAGGAGGAGGAGGAGCAAGTGGAGGAGGAGGATGAGGAGGAGGAGGAGGATGAGGAGGAAGAGGCGGAGGAAGAGGAGGAGGAGGAGGATGAGGACGGAGTAGGAGGAGGAGGAGGAGGAGGGCGAGGAGGAGTAGTAATGGGACAAGGAGAAGCAGAAGGAACAGGAAAAGGAGAAGGAGAATATGCAGTAGTAGCAACAGTTGTAGCAGAAGTAGTCGTAGCACTAGAAGCAGCAGCAGCAGTAGTAGTAGCAGGAGTAGTAGTAGTAGTAGTAGTAGTAGTAGTAGTCGTAGAAGAAGAAGAAGAAGAAGAAGACGAAGAATAAGTGGTAGTAGTAATAGCAGCAGCATCAGTAGTAGTAGTAGTAGTAGTAGTAGTAGTAGTAGTAGTAGTAGTAGTAGTAGTAGTAGTCGTAGTCGTAGTCGTAGTCGTAGTCGTAGCCGTAGTCGTAGTAGTAGTAGTAGAGTAGTATAGTAGTTGTAGTCGTAGTAGTAATCGTAGTAGTAGAAGCCGTAGTAGTAGTAGTAATAGTAGTAGTATAAGTAGTAAGTAATAAGTATATAGAA